GGGGGGGGGGGGGGGTTGGGATTTGAACAGCACCACAGCAGGCACCACAGCAGTGGTAGGAACAGCAGAAACAACCAGTTTCGATTTGATGTGCGCATATTGGCGTGATACTTCAGCTTGTGGTCGCCGATATTCGGTACTATGCCTTCGAAGATCAGGGAACCTAAGGTGTTGGGCAGAAGTCAGTTGCGTCTACAGCGCCTTAGAGAATAAAATGAAGCATTGCTCCAGGAGGCTCGCTGATTTTTTCGCAGTGGAATGAGGGGCTGACCTACAGCAGTAAAACAACATGTCCGTGGGGGAAGAAAAACCCCAACGAATTCGGCCGCAAATCTTCCGTCCTGGAAGCACAGGCGCCTACGTACGCGGCCTCCAAAAAACCGTCGGGCTGACTGGTACACTTTCTCATGCATCCTGGCAAAAAGCAACACCCTCCACTCGAAGGCATGACATGAAATGACAAGGTGGACGTGCATCGCGCACGGCACATCAACAAACCTCCATCACAGCGGTACAATCCTCCCGGCCTCTCCCCCTCCCCTCCCCAACATTGAGAAACCCATAACCCACCGGCGGGAGCAGGAGCCGAGGCAGCGGTACCTCCAGCGGCACCGAAAGAAAGCGCTTTGCCCGCCGCCGCCGCCGTCGCCGCGCCAGCCCCCGTACCTCCAAAGCTACCGGAGGCGGCCGCAGGCGCCAGCGCCGCGGCAGCTGGTGCAGCCCCGAACCCTCCTCCTCCCCCGAACACGGACGTCGTGGCCGCCGGCGCCGTGGCGGCCGAACCAAAGCCCCCACCTAAGCCCGCGGCGGCAGGCGCAGCGGAAGCGGGAGCGGGGCTCTTCCCGAAGCTGAAGCCCCCCGCGGCAGCGGGGGCGGCGGTAGAAGCAGCAGTTTTCGCCCCGCCGAACCCGCCACTGAACGCCGCCGCCGCGGGAGCGGTGGGTTTCGCCGTTCCAAAACCACCGCCGCCGAAAGTTCCCGAAGCCGCAGGTGCGGGAGCGGTGCCGCTAGCAGCAGCTCCGAAGCCGCCCAAGGAAAACGCTGATCCGGGGGCGTGGGCCGGGGTGGCAGCCGCGGGGGCCGCGCCAAAGCCCCCGAAGCCCCCGGCGGGGGCCGCCGCCGCCGTTGCGGAGGAAGCCGGTGCCGCGGCCGGTGTCGATCCGAAGCTGAAGCCGCCGGCGGCAGGCTTAGACGCCGCTGCTGCGGCGGGTTGTGCGGAGCCAAAGGAAAAGGCGGCTCCGCCGGAAGGGGCCGGGGCGGGGGTACCACCCGCCCCCGCGCCGAACATACTGGGAGCTGACTTTCTTTCCCTTGGAATGCGCTATGCAGCAGCCCTTTCCAAGGGCCGTAGAATGCTACAAAACTCAGTCGCCCTGGAGGGTTGTTGCGCGAACGAGCAAGCGTGCGCCGGGGGGGGGAGGGTCAGCTGCGTTCAGAGACAGCAGTAACTATTGGTGTGCTACAGGCAGAAAGACATGTAAGAAATGAGTATGATTCGAAAACTTTGTTGCTTAGAGGGTGACATGACATACATGAGGGAGGCAAGGCGGGCCCCGCGTGGTATGTCATATGTACCCATATTATCATCTACGGAACCCTCAAACATCCACCGAGGCATTCGAACACAGGGCGACGATGGCGAATATCTAGTTTTTGCTCTTGTGATGGTGAGAATACAACAGCGGCAATTTCAAGTGAGAACCGGCGGGTTTGTCCAAGACCACATCTGCGTCTCCAGAATGTAGGGCGGGCTCGCCGTAGTAGCAACCGCAAGATGGGTTGCTAAACCGAATCAACCGACGAAGCTCTCATAGGGACGACAGCAGTTGCACAGACTTGCCAACAGGCAGCGATGCGCCATCCTGGCAGTCGAGTACAAAGCCTACTACTGCTGTAGTACCAAAACTACAATAGGAGTACAAGCTCCAGTAACCTCCAAAGCCCTCGCGGCACTGAAGGGAGGGGGGCGTGGTCAAGCAACTACTCCTGTACTTGTGACAAGAGAGCACGTCATTTGGCCGGAAATAGCAGTACGCGGAACATACAACTAGCTCCATGCTTGCTGACCACCACTGCTGTTATTTGTGTTTCAGCAATGGTGTAAGACTTGCTTGTCTCCTCCGCCAGGATGGCCGCAGTACTGCTGTGCTACACCACAGCCTGATGGGCCTCATTTGGTACAAGAGATGGGCTGTGGGCGACATAAACACGCGATGAAATTAGCTTAGAAATAACGCAACTACTGGCCAAGGACGCGTAGCCTTGAACGCTTCCAGGAAGCAAACACGCCAGGGCCATGTTGTGGACATGCAGGAGAGGTCTGACCTCCGCAGCCCGTCGCCGTGACACAGGGGATAGTACTGCCGCTGTAGGACAACACACACCGAGAGAGTGCGGTGAATAGCATTAAGAAGCAATTGCAGTCAAACGGCTGTTACAAAATGGCAGACAAAGCAGTAGGGGAATCATATTTGGAGAAGCAGGAAAAGTAAAAAAAGCGGGCGCGATGGAACCAGGAGACAACGAGAGACGCAAGGAACACTGCTGCATTGCTGCATCGTAAAGAGAAGGTGTGTGTGTGGGATGGCTCCGAAGCTCGTAGCCAAACACGATTTCAAAAAGTGATAATGGTAGCACACCCCATGCCGAGTACCTTTCGGGCACACCCTCGATTGCCGCACAGAAGGTCCACGCAACTGGTCCACACAAAGCTGTTACGTGTTGCAGTGGTTAGATCTACAAGCACCAGCCATTGACACACTGGGGTGGGTGTAGCCCAGCAGCATTCGCGCGGTGCTGGTCCCCGCCGGAAGGCCAAAGTCAACGAAATTTTGAAACAGGAAGGCTTTGAGGATGTTGTTGTGGCATTGCTCTACATACGTGGCCCTGATCCACTTCACAAACCTGACGTGCTGGCCTCCCAATAAACCGCCCAGACGCCAGCAGCTCTCGAAAAAATAGCGTCTACGTTCAACGGAACTGCACCCAACACGGCACAGCAGCGCGGTGCCCGGTGTGTGCGGTGTGCGCAGCGACTCAGGGAGTGCGTGAAGGCCTGGATGGCTTTATTATTCTAGACTTTCCATCCCCCCGCCGTCCCCGAGCTATATTTTTGTGAAACGGTTTTTGGATTTGGATGCAGAAAAATCCACAAAATACACGCGTCGTTATTTTTGTCTGCATGCAGAGCTTCGACGACATGCGTGTAACGATCATCTTGTTTTTGGCCTGCCGTGGATCGGCGCTGCAGATAACTTCTCTCTTCCAACCACAGATCGACTTGTTTGCACGGGTCTGATCGCGTTGAAGACCCAAAGCAAGCGGCACGCCATCCCACTCCCAAACCTGCACGACACTACACTGCAGCAGCAGTGCCCCGACCGGCGCCATACTGCTGTACTCTAGAACGATCTCCCTCCGCGTCCACATCTCGCGAGCAAGACTGGAGACAATACCAGCTACAACAAAGGGCTAAGGAAGGGGCAAGGAGAGTTGACGTAAGGGTATGGACGTGGCTTCCTCAACTCGTCCTCGAGGAATACTACGGCACAGACTCCCACATGGAGTCCCCCTGCCGTACCATGCGAGACAGGGCCGTTTGAGTGTATACTTGAGGTCTGTTTGACTGGAATACTTTCCCCTTCCGTAGCGACGACCGTGTAGGAAACGACAAGTAGATATCGTCACGGAAACGATTACAGCGATGTGGCATGCCTTTCGTGCTTTTAGGCCTGGTCATGGCTTTGCCAGTGACAGTGCATTGCGAGCCCGGCTTTTCCTGCCCTCACCTCTATTGTAGCAACACTTTTTCGCGTCGTGGAGTTTCGCCACCTTTCTCCCCTCTATCCTCCTCTCCGCGCTGCTACGGCTCCTGGCAGAAGGAAAAGTGCCGCTACACAATCTAACTACTGCTGTACATATGTAGACTATGTAGCCTGATATGTAGACTATGTAGCGTGTACATATTCTCCCCGAGGGGCCAAACAAGTAGAAGATCGGCGGTCGCTTTTACAGCACAGACAGTTACAGGTTGGAAAAGGCGGTTGACAGCTGTCTGAGCCATGTGGTGCTGGATCTATGGTCTGAACAGGTCTTTATCTACAACACAATACCATAACATACGTATTATGTAGTTTCGGACTGCTTGACTTCTACATATGTAGGTCTCAATACTTGAGACCACGGGTGTATCGATGAAGTGGCGATGGTTCCGTTTCGTCGCTCAAGTCGATCTCAATAATTGTCCCGCCGCGTTGGTTCTCCAAGCTTACGTGACGTGCTGCCTGATGCCCCTGCGCTGAGAAGTCCTACACCACACCAGTAGCATAGACTAAGTCCCACCCGTTGGCCATAGGTGTTGTTGTGTACATTGTCCTAGTTTTGCATACGGGTATGTGAGGATTGGTCGAGCGCACTACATACAGTACCGTCTGGAACACCACAAAAGCCTTCGGTACGGGTGCGGGGATAGTCTACTGTAGATTGTAGGCACCCATTTTTCCCACGTATCCCGTATCCTGGGTGTTGGATCATTACTACTGTACTCCAGACGGACACATCATGGTGTCCATTCCAGTCACCACCTTGCTCGTCGATGCAGTCGATAACCTCACACGACGATGGACATCAAATCCTGAGGCATTTCGACAAGGGCGGGTGATCAAGATCGGGAAGAGGCGCCATCTTCGAGCGAGGTTTCAAAGGTAATGCGGGGTTTAAGGATTTTTTGGGACCGCAGTTCTGATCATCGTGTTGTTTACGGTTTGATGCGTGCACATCAGCCAAAATTTTGTTAAACACCGCATGCCCCTACCTCCATCCCCCACCCGTACGCCCCTTTGTGTGTATCAATGCCTTGTGGGTTTAGACCAGACTCATGATAATATCCAAACTCGACCTCCTTCCGAACGACGATATTGCAGCTCGCTGTGCAGTATGTCACACCCGAGCTTGAAATGATGTTTGGCTGAGCGTATCAATGGCGGGGGAAATAAGATGAAGAAGGAAAATGACAAATGGCAAGAGGCCCAGGGCGAGCGATGTGGAATGGCTGTTAGACAATAGTACGCGGAAAAGGTACCTCCTTTATATGCGGGGCTAGACTTCTACATGGTCTACGTAGTCTATGGGTATGGCATGAACTACCACGCGCTGTCCTCCGTTCCCGTCGCTGTTTTTAGGCCGCACCGAAACATACCAGTGGGGACACAAGATTACACACCATCACCTACCGAAGGCTGGAATTCACCCTGGCACCGACATCAACAAAGTTGAGTGCACGCCTCATCGCCATTTGAAGTGTGGATCAATACCGTACGTGTTTGACTTCAACCTTCCTTGTAGCATAGGCAAAAATCGTTGCAGTTGTAGGTGACGGAACCCCATGCATCGCAACTAGGCTCGTCACTTGAGTTTCACGGTGCGCGTGCGGGTGTTCTTTGAAAGTTAGCAATCTAAAAAAAAAACAATCTTTGATGCATCCAAACCCCTCGACTAGTGAAGCACCAAATACGTAACTCTATTGAAAATAAGACAGAATGAACAGATTGTGTGCCCAGGGCCCGTGTGACCAAACGGCAGCTCTGGAAAGTGCTTTCTAGGAACACACAGCAGCTGTTTTCCTGCTTCCGTTCCTCCTGAGTGCTGCTGATCAAGGATATACTCGCACGACACTCCGCGTCCAGCATGTCCAGCACAGTAATGTACACGTACCCACACGCACTACAAAGTGTCTGTTCATCGCCCACCCGGCGGTGGACACAAGAGTTTCCCGGGAGCATCCAGGGAGCAGGGAGTGGACGATGGGCCGAGTTCTCAGCCTTTCAAGATAGTGCATCAGGAGCAGCACAACAGTCCAGCGAAAGTCTGGAGCGGTGCAATAGACTCAGGTGAAACGTGACAATTTACCTCTGGAGTTCAAGTTGGGGTGGGGTGTGGCGGATCATGGCATGCGGGACGCTTGCCTCGACAAATCCTAACCAGTCGACAAACAAAAATGCTAGAAGGCCTGTTTCTGAGGCTAGATTGATGCCTTATTTGTGAGAGAGAACAGTTCTGCGTTTCCATTCCGTGTAAGCTTTCCTTTGTCCCACAAATATTTTGGCTTCATACGTATGGATCTGACACTATAGCAACAGGTTTGATGCTGTGTCACCCTGTCGCGAATGCGAGCCCTCGTTCGAGAAGAGGTATCATCTATGCATTTTCAAGCTTCACATAAGTGCAACCGCGTGTACAGAACAGAATCCGTGAGCAACACACGTTGTGGTTGTTTCGGTATACCCCCTT